TTATCAATTCATCATCCCATTACACAAGAAAGGGCCTCTATATATAGGCCTAAGAAACTAAAACAAGACACATATGCCCCTAAGGCTTACATAGGACGACCCTCTTAAGTGAGGGTAAAAATAGAAAATTCATAATAAAAATTTAAAAATTACAAATAAAATATAAGATAACGTGGGACGATAACAGCAGTTGATCTTCAGCTCCTCGGATAGCCATGGACGGTTGGATGTCCGCATCAATAGTCTCATTAATTATTCTCCTAAGTTATGCAATTCACTGATAAGTCTTTTCAACTGCATTCATTCACAAATTTCATGGGTCATTGCTCTAAACTCAATTTCTAAACTGCTTTGGGCAACAAAAGATTATTTTTTACAGTACCAAGTGATCAAATTTTCCCACACAAACATACAGTACCTTGAAGTTTACTTGTGATCCATAATTTAGCCCACCAAATCACATTAATAAAAACTCAATCTTCTTGTCCTTTCCCTAGAGTCTTTTTCAGATATCTCATAATCCTTAAAAAAGCCTCCATATGACTTTCAATATGATTATTCATAAATTGTTTTGCCACAATAATTGGAAATCAAATAATAAATCAAAAGTGAGATAGATAATCTGTCAAAAAATCTTTGAAACCGACATTTATTCACTGGACTATAATCATAGTAAGTTCCAAGTTTAGTCGTTGAATTCATAGAAGTTTATGTAATAATAGTTTAGTTACTTCAAGAAAATCCAAGACATATGCATTCACAGTCTAAGACACACTTTTGTGATCAACACCCATAAAAATTTAAGGTTCCCAAGTCTTTAGTCTTGAATTCCTTGAAGAAAAGGAGTCTCTAGGGTTTCTTATTTATTTTGCAAAATTACTTAAGATAAAAATGGCATTGATATAAAGAATCAAAACAATAGTTTTATTCTCAGTGATCTTTTAACAAAGAGAGTATGTGATGTAGAACGAGAAGGGAAAAAAAAGGACATTTGAGATATGAATTTCTTGCTTTAATTGAGATCAAAATATTATGAATAATTAAATCAAATCAAATCCAATTAGAAACCTAATTAGATTTAATTTAAGTAACTTTTCTAAAATAAGCTATCTTAAATTAGGAAAGTATTTCAAATTCAAAATTACTTAGAATTTGAACTCAAATATTTTCCTAACTTAAATTGTTTGATAAAAGGAAAAGTAATCAAAGGGGAATTCAAATTTTGGAGGCAAAGAGGAAGAAGGGGGGAAGGGGACGCCCCTAAAATAAGCTATCTTAAATTAGGAAAGTATTTCAAATTCAAAATTACTTAGAATTTGAACTCAAATATTTTTCTAACTTAAATTGTTTGATAAAAGGAATGTAATCAAAAGGGAATTCAAATTTTGGAGGCAAAGAGGAAGAAGGGGGGAAGGGTCCAGCGTCATTAAAAGGGGGAGGTGAGGTTCTGGAAAGAGAATTAAAAAGGACTTTAATTGGAACCTTAAATTAGGAAGTAATATTTAAATCACATCCAATTAAATAATTAACTGGACCTAACTCAAATACTTTCCTAAAATAAGAATCCTAATTTTAGAAACAAAATTCAAATTCAAATTAATTTGAATTTTAAATTTCAATTTGTTTCTAACTTATAAGGGCTAAAATAGGAGAGGGGTTTTGAATGTGAAGGGAGATTTGTGGAGCCAAGGGGAAAGAAGGTGGCCGCAGTTTAGCAAAATCGGTGACTAGGGAGGTTGGTGGGGGTGTTGCAAGTGGAGCTAAGGCCGTGGGGAGGGAGAAGGGGAGGCTGGTTTTGTGGAAGTGTAAGGGTTTATGAAAGAATCGGCCGGTGGAAAGTGGGGGATTTTGGTCGGCGGTCAAGGGAGGATGAGAAAAGGATTTAGAGAAAGAAAGATACAACCGTGAGCCCGGACACATCCTGCAGCTGACGGGTACGACGTTGTCCTTCACCAAGGAACTTCAGGCCACGAGCCCAAACGCATCCTGTGGCTTGTGGAAGCTATGAATTCTTCTCATAGGAATCTCACCCAAGATTCTTCCCAAAAACACAAGTGCAAACACAAAATTTTATTAATCATACAACATTATCTAATACAAGAGCAAGGGCCTCTATATATAGGCCTTAAAAGAAACTAAAAGACAACTTTACCCCTTAGGCTTACATAAGTCAAGACCCTTAAGAGTAAAAACAAAAAATGCATAATTAAATAAAAAATGCAAATAATAAACTAAGATAAAAATGGAGGGATCTTGGTCGTCGATCTTCGTCTCTTCCTTTGAATAACGTCCACCGTCGGATGTCCGCATCATTCTCCCAGGTTAGAAAAGAGCTCGACTCCATCGAGTCCGCATCCCAGGCAACCATGCTCTGATACCAAACTGATGTAGAATGATAAGGGAAAAAAAGGATATATTTGATATTTGAATTTCTTGCTTTAATTGAGATCAAAATATTATGAATAATTAAATCAAATCAAATCCAATTAGAAACCTAATTAGATTTAATTTAAGTAACTTTCCTAAAATAGGCTATCTTAAATTAGGAAAGTATTTCAAATTCAAAATTACTTAGAATTTGAACTCAAATTTGAACTCAAATATTTTCCTAACTTAGATCGTTTGATAAAAGGAAAGCAATCAAAGGGGGATACAAATTTTGGAGGCAAAGAGGAAGAAGGGGGGAAGGGGCCGGGGGCATTAAAAGGGGGAGGAGAGATTAGGGAAAGATAATTAAAAAGGACTTTAATTGGAACCTTAAATTAGGGAGTAATATTTAAATCACATCCAATTAAATAACTAACCGGACCTAACTAAAATACTTTCCTAAAATAAGAATCCTAATTTTAGAAACAAAAATCAAATTCAAATTAATTTGAATTTTGAATTACAATTTGTTACTAAGTTAGAAGGGCTAAAATAGGAAAGGGCTTTAAATGTTAAGGGAGACTTGTGGAGCCAAGGGGAAAGATGGTGGCCGACAGTTTAGTGAGACCGGCGACTAGGGAGGTTGGTGGGGGTGTTGTAGGTAGAGCTAAGGCCATGGGGAGGGAGAAGGGGAGGCTGGTTTTATGGAAGTGTAAGAGTTTATGAAAGAATCGGCCGGTGGAAAGTGGGGGATTTTGATCGGCGGTCAAGGGAGGATGAGAAAAGGATTTAGAGAAAGAAAGATACAACCGTGAGCCCGGACACATCCTGCAGCTGACGGGTACTACGTTGTCCTTCACCAAGGGACTTCAGGCCACGAGCCCGAATTAAAAAATCCTATTTGATTTCATAAGATTCGAGTAAAAAATTCAAGGAGCAACACCCAAATAAAATCAATAATTTCAATTTGATCAGCAACATAAAAACAATCATCATCACCATTAGCCATAACTGTTTGTTGTTAGTTTAATGAACCTCATTCCAGTCATACCTTGTAGAAACTCTCATTCTCTTTTCATCCATACTGAGTATTCCATAAGGTATTAAACCTATTTTTGTGCAAAGCCTTTTGCAAAACTTCTATTCATATTACCTAGAGTATGACTTTTTTATCTTCCTAATATGTTAACATAAAGTTAACTAACAGTCTTACTAGTGCATCATTTATCTTTTGTTATACTAACCAAACCACAAACCTATTTTTCACTATCTTACCTTTCAATAGATTACAACGCCAACCATTAATTATTTCATAATTCATCCTTAACAAGTTTTACCAAATATCCAATATTCTCAATTCAACTATTTAAACTTGTCAATGAAAAAGACTACCTAACTGCTCAATACTCAAGTTCATACAACATATTTGGCCTAACTACAGTTAAAATATTAATTTTTACCTCCAAAATCTTCTCCTATCACAATACTTTTAAGGAACTTAATCTATTTTAATCACCTAATCTTACCCTAGAAGTTTTGTGCTGTATAATAGGTTCAAATACTTAAATCCATCATACCTACATAATAACTTTATCTTTTAATAATATTGCTTCGTAATTAATCCTATAAAGCCAATAAATAAATAAAATAAACTGAAGCTATGTTTCATAAAAAAGAAGAAAAGGAGAAACACTATTTTGACATCAATGGTACACATAATTAGCTAGATCAAAATTTTACTAGAAAGAATGGAGATAACCAAGCTAAAATGAGTCTTTTAGGATAAATTTTATATAGCATTCACATCCTAAAGTTCTTACTCTGGCCGGTTGCCACGCTTTAAAGCAACAAAACAAAACTTCTCATCCTCAAAACCGCGCAATGGCTCTCCCTTGGATCGCTGCAATAATGGAAAATAGCCAATGAAATTGTAAAATAATTAAATAACTCCAACAAAATTCCACAGAAACTCGTGTAAGCAATACCATCAAACAAGTATGAATGCTCTAGAAATAAATTTCAAAAAACGTTCAGAATGTTAAGTATTATGTAGATATCATATTCTAAATACATGAATGGTAAGGATTGAGAGAAAACAATGACAAAGTTATCCTATAAAAAATGATACTTCAAATACAGAAATCAAGTTTCATAGTTATTCGCCATGTTATAATAAGTGACTGAACATTACAAACTATATATAAAAAAATGTGCGAGAAGATGAGTTTAAAGTGCCCAACAAAGGCTTCAAGACAACCATAGAGAAGAACGGTGAGAATTGTTGATGCTGATCTGCAAGTTTACATTTGACTTGTAACGACAGGGATTGTCCTGTGCCTTGTTTACTGAATTAACTGATTTGGCTCATGGTTTGGATGGCTCAGATAAGGTGTAATTGCCATAAAATTCAAATTTTTTCGTGCACCTAATCCTCTCTGAAATATAAAAAAAACAATTTAATCCCACATGCAAGACAAAATTGCAATCAATTATTGCCACATGTGCATTCCAACATAATTTGGTGGCGCTACAGTCACATGCAAAACTTTTTGGTAGTCTAAGCGGTGCTCTACTAATTACAGATGACCCACAATTTTCTTAGGAACTTAAGGGCATGCAATTTTGGCTGGTGCCAATAATTTTTTGTAGTTTGGAACTATCGATCAATGTTTGGTCGTTTTTGGTTTAGATTTATCTACTTCATCTGATTCTTCTTGGGCAGGGCATGGCATGAGTTGTGCTTTATAACTGCCGAAGCAGCTTATGGTGGCATATTCCCTTAAGCCCCGATGTGAGTTGTGCTCTATTCGAGATTTTCCTGGGTCGCATTCCTACTCAGGCTTCCAACCTCTGCAAATTTTTTCAATGTCGTATAGGAAGACTATTTTAAAAAAGAATCTAAAAATGTTTGCTCATCCTTCTTGAATAAGCAACATATGAGCCATGAGGAACCTAAAAAAGTCATTCAGAAGCATGTAATAGATGGTTTTTTATTCAATAAAATTATTAATTCCAATTTTAATCTTGTATGTGTATGTTGGATACATATATAATTCCTTTGAGTATAGTATAAATGTGATTCAAAATTTTAGGTAAAGTCATCTCCTTATACCAACATGATGCCTATATTTTCTTTAGTTTGCCCATTTCTTTCCTTTTTTTTTTTCTTTAAAATACTTTGTAATTGCTTGCTAGAGTTCTTGATTTTGGTTAAATATGATATTAAAATTCAACTGTTGGATGGTTTTGTTTGATTTGAATTTCTTATTCTCTTCAAATTTATTAGATCTTCGCACAATTATTTCAGATCTAATTCTCTTTTTTTTTTCATATTTGCACCGTCTTGTGCATTTAATGATCTTTAATCTAATAATCTTAATTTCTTTTATGTGGTTTGCATTCATTACATCTTCCTAGCAACATCAAGAAACCTAAACCATCAAGCATCTAAAACAACAAAAAGATAGAATTTGTATTCCATTGCTTGCATTTCAAAGGGCTAATAGATAATTATAGAGGAGAGGACAAAATCCCTTTCCTCATATTACAGCAAATCGAATCATAAAACAAGTAAAAAACTGAAAATACAAAACAACATAGAACCAAGTGACAACCCTCCAAAACCCACCAAAGGAAACTCATAAAAAGCTTAGTCTATGTGCTTCCTTATTTAAATTTCAAAACCCCAACACAAGGTAGATAGTAAATACTTATCATTCCCAAGTTGGTACTTAATCTTACAAAAATTATAAGAGCACATGCCTAGGTGAGAATGTTTATAATTTGGTGACAAGTTAGAGAAGGTTGAAGAGATATGGAAGTGTCAATCTATCGCAACATGTTTGGCATGATAATGAAGCACGGGATTTTTGACAATGTTTATTGATGTTTGATTATCACACAAAAGTCTTATTAATTCTTCTCCTAAGTTATGCAATTCACTGAGAAGTCTTTTCAATTGCATTCAGTCACAAATTTCAGGGGTCATTGCTCTAAACTCAACTTCTGAACTGCTTTGGGAAACAAAAGATTATTTTTTACAGTACCAAATGATCAAATTTTCCCATACAAACATACAGTACCTAGAAGTTTACTTGTGATCCATAATTGAGCCCACCAAATCACATTAATAAAAACTCAATCTTCTTGTCCTTTCCCTTGAGTCTTTTTCAGATATCTCATAATCCTTAAAAAAGCCTCCATATGACTTTCAATAGGATTATGCATAAATTGGTTGGCCACAATAATTGGAAATCAAATAACAAATCAAAAGTGAGAAAGATAATCTGTCAAGAAGTCTTTGAAACCAACATTTATTCAATGGACTATAATCATAGTAAGTTCCAAGTTTAGTCGTTGAATCCATAGAAGTATACGTAATAATAGTTTAGTTACTTTTAGAAAATCCAAGCCATATGCATTGACAGTCTAAGACACGCTTTTGTGATCAACACCCATAAAAAATTAAGGTTCTCAAGTATTTAGTCTTGAATTCTTTGAAAAGGAGTCTCTAGAGTTTATTATTTATTTTGAAAAATTACTTGAGATAAAAATGGCATGACATAAAGAATCAAAACAATAGTTTTCTTCTCAGTGATCTTTTAACAAAGAGAGTATGATTAGACTGACATTGAATGTACCCATAATGCTTGACCACTTTCGTGATTTATCGAACCAAGCATGTGAGAATTGCTTTGAGCCACATAAAGACCTTTTTAAGCTTGCAAACATTGTTTGTTGTGACTAATGTATGAAGACTATAAGAAATTTTCATATAGAATTCTTTAATATCACCATTAAGGAATAAATTATTAACATCTAATCGGTATAAAGGTTAATCCAGGATAGATGAAATAGATAAGAGCACTTGTACAATGTTTGTTTTGCTACATAAGCAAATGTTTCTTGATAGCCAATTACATAGGATTATGTAAAACCTTCTATCACAGGTGTCTTACAAAGCACAACAAGGGATTTGCCTGATAGAAATGACATTAACAGACAATGGCAGTTCATTGTTCTTCAACTTTCTTTTGACTAACTCCTACTGATGTCAAAGCATCAATTGCGAATAAGGATAGGACATTAACAAAGCTCATTAATTAATCAAAGGCAAAGTTTAAGAGCTGTAAGGGGGAGTTGTAAAGACTAAGTTTAAAGACATTACTGCAAGGCTAGTTAGACAAAACAGAATGAAAAAAAATTAGAAATAATTCATAATCAAAGTCAAACTAGTTGCACTTAAAATATAAAGACAGTATATTTTGGTTACACTTTTAAAGCTGATCACTTAAAGAATGACTTCACATTATCCCTTTCTTTTCACCCCCACCCACCTTACTCCCCCCCATCAAAAATAAATAAATAAACCACACAGGTACCTCTCTTCCCTAGCCACATGTAACAGAAAAATAGAATGGAAAACAAATAAAGATATTGATGATGTGTGGACCTTATATGTGCGTTGAGATGATGTCCTCTCTATCCGCTGAACAAAATGACAATATTTACCAGAATTCTCCAAAGGGCATCGACCATCATGGGAACACTGCAAAAATAGCATCCAAATATCCAATTAACAAGTCAGAACATTTTAAAAATAGTGTAGCAAAAAACTGGGAACAATTTTCAACATGACTCACTGGAGCAACAACATATGCATTATTTCTTGAAGCTCCTGCGTCAACAACAATACTTTTTTCGTTACTTGGAACTTCATTTGATTTTTTACTCTTACGACATGTCTGAAAGAGAAGATAAAAGCAATTAAGAATGACAAAATCCAACACTGCAGCCAACGGTGCAAAAGAGTAAACATTAGAGAGTTATGATTTTCACTCTTTTAGCCATCCATAGAATATAGGAACGCATCTGGCGTATAATTCTTGAACCATGTGGAGTTCCAGGCTCCAAAAGAACCTGTTGTAAAAGGATTCTTGTTATTTATAAAGCAGCATCTGTCACTGATAACAAATAAAAGAATGGAAAAGAATTAGATAGGCAGAAGACCGTGCATTACTATTTCACCATTTAGAGAGCAAGACAAATCACTTAATTTAGAGTACGGAAGGAATACTTCAGTTACTGTTTTGACTTTATTTACTACTACTTCAGCCAGCCTTCAGATCAAACATTTCGTTATTTCCATCTTATTTTTGGTTCTATAACTTTCAACCTGCTCTAAATACATGATGACAACAAGGGTTTGTCAGGCTCTCAACAAACGCTAAGTTCTACAAAGTGCAAGTAGAAGGATGACCAAATTGCAAGATGCATTGCTCATAATAATGTATTGTACAATTAGTTCAAATGATCCATCATGAGAGAGATGATTTCAATATAAGCACAATAATTTTTAACCTTAAATACAATCATAGACCATAAATAAGATTACCATATACCATTAATACCATATGCTCACATGACGTAAGTTTAGTTAGAGGTTGATTGCAATGTAGAGTGTCCCGACCATTCCATGTGGCATTCTACCATAATGTTACATGAATACGATTGCACCATCCCAAATGAAAATTTCTCCGTGTAGATATTTCTGAAAAGTATGGGATGCAAGATAATCAAAATGCTCTTTGAGGCTAAATCACCAAAAACCTATGTGGGCTCCAAAATGATAGAGATATCCTTCAGAATTTTATTTTCACATAAAGATGAAACAAATGTTGCTCAGGTACATTTTCAAAATACACAATTTCCCAAAAAAAAACAAATAAAAGTAAATATCAAATATTAATGTAAGAACATATATATTTCCATAAAAAATCTCTTAGCTGTTTGAAAAGTCCTAATCAGGCCTTTGCTTTGATAAACACGTAAATACATCAATAACTCAAACAATTCACTGAAGGAGTGTTTGAATACAGTAATGCAGCTTAAGAGATGAATCATCACCAGATGGGACGTGTATATAAACTTTCAACCGAAACGTCACAAAGATAAATTCACATAGAAAATGAGCCAAGGCATTGGTGTACACAAGGGATGACATATAAATCCTTAATAGGTGTACACCGCATCCTTAAACTATGCACTCCTATGGCCCAACGAGGAAGGATCACAAACTAGGTATGTTTTTTTCTATTCCTGCTAGGATCGCAACAATCCCTATCTAATCAAGCACAATCTTCAACATAGCCCACAAATCTTGGAGTACTTCAAAACGACTGAACTAGAGCTCAATTTTACTCAAAAATTTGATTCAAGGGCAAAATTTGATTCAAGGGCCAAATGATCTCAAAAGGTTGAAAAAGCTATTGAGATATTTGACTCGTTAATAAGAACTTGTTGACACTAAATGTAATATTCGGTTTTGGCTGGGCCTATTCAACCGAATTGGCCAGCCTTCTAATTAAAGACGCGACCCCAATAGGGGTCGGTACTGTTCCTTTTTCGTGAAACAAAGGGGGGGCGGATGGCCAAGGGCTCTGTGCGAGAGCAAGGTGAGTTCCGTTTTCCAATTTAAGCAAATGATTTCCTTCAAGGATAAAAATTAACCATTCCTTTTCATTCCTATCGCTAAGGAAGTGCTAAATTTGGGAGAACTTTCATCAAACGAGAGAAACAACCGAGGAGAGAAAAGGAACATGTTATTGAATTTCTTCCTTCCAATTTTGTATAAATTCTCATGTTTTGTTTTTCCTAAAGTAAATGACATTATTTTTTAGGGAAGATAAAACGATTTGAAAGCGAGGGAAAAGAATTTTGAGAGAGAGAAGAAAAATTTTGGGATTTGGCTCCTTGTTGTAAGTAAAATTTCTATTATATAATTTTTCTTAGATTTATTATTAAAGCATATTTTCATAAAATATGTATTGCTTAATTATAGAAATTTTAGAAGAAAAGAAAGCAAGTGTAGGAGTTCGATTCAAAAAGGATTCAACAAGGAAGAAAATTCGAGGTTTGAACTAAGAAATAATTAAATACATATTTATGCAAAATTTATGAAAGGTAAATATAAAAAAATCTACATGATTGTGTGTTTTCCTTAGGTTGTACCAAGGATCGAAGTTTTGAAAGAATCAAAGTGGGTAACTTATGTTATTTCATTTTTTTATTTTATGCATACAATCTTTTAAAAATGTGATTATTAACATAAATAACAAATGTTGAGGGTATACATATCTCGTGATATTATAGTCTTCTGATAAATTTCATATGTTGCGAATGTTTGAAAGTTTTATTAAAGTGAAATGTATTAGATTTATAGATGTGTATATGTAAAATTGTCATATGCCAATGTATAAATACTAATCAAATGGAAAACAAAAAGGAAAGGTAAAAGTTATATATCTATATTTATGAAAATAAAACATATGTAATAATTATAATAAGGAAAAGGATATGCATGCAAAATTTATAGGAGTTCACCCCCATATGGTATTGACTAGGGAAGCAACGTACCCATGCACGTATAAAGGAAAAGAATATGGAAATGAAAACGGTTATACCTTAATTGGTACATTTAGACGGTGCTCTTGTATAAGTGGAAATAGAAATTAAAAAAAAAAAGTAAATGTCAAAACTGTTAAAGGAAATGTAATATTTATGATTGAACATTTATAATGCATGAAAGATGTACATATATGGATTTTGTATACTAAGAAAGAAGTATAAGATAATCTATCTATGTTTTTTTTTCTATTTTTATAATCGATAATGATTATCCACTGAGTTTACTTTGTAAACTCATTCCACAAAATAAATGTTTTCAGGTAAAATTCCAAAGCTTTAGAAATGACAGAAAGAGATGAGTTTGTCTATAAAAGACGGCGCATTAATGAAAACAAATAATTTATGACGTCTACAAATGTTAAGTATTTGAGAAATTTTTGTTAGTGGCTCTTCAGTTGAATAGAAAATTTCATGTTACTTTGCTCATGAATTGAAATGATTTGATCCTACCGTCCGACTTTTAGTTCCTGCCTTGCTAAATCGAGTATCCGGGCCGAGTCATGACACAAATTATCCAATTTAGACACCTGAAGACTGTAAAATGGTTGAACCATTAAAGGATGAAAGATTAGTTTCTAGATTTGTTTATTTCCCATAGAGTTATTTCTCTATCTATTAATGTACTCATCATATTGTTTACACAGAACCAGAGAATAAAATTCAGTCATAAAATCACTCAATCTCTACTCTCCTCTCCACCCATTGCAATTTTCAAGGCAATACATTAGCATGCTAATATTTTTTTCACCATTAAGAGGTTAATGAATTAAACTCAATCTCCATTTTATACTCATCCAATATTTTGCTAATCACCAACAGAGTATGCATTACAGCTGATAACTTTGAAGATGCTGATTTTAAAATGTATGTTTCAAAACTTTTTGAAATGATTCATGCATTTCAAAACCTAAGGATATCCACATGAAACAGTAGTGATTTATAATAATTCATATTCAATTCATATAGCTCATGGAGAAGAGTTACAAAATGACATAACAAAAGGTAAATCTACATGTGCAGCTCATTTTCATTTGGTTGTTGGTAGCTTCAAGCTACCAACCAAGAGGTCTTGGGTTTAAAACTTGCGTATGTGATGTGTATGTGAGTTTGCCTTTAATTGGCTCAAAAGTCTCAAAAAAAAAAAAGATAAATCTACACCATTAAATCATACCAGAACATCTCTTGTTAGATCCCAAAGTTGGCGTATGACGGTAATCCTGTCACTCAATGAAGGTATTTCTCCAAGAGCATAGGACTTCATTTATTTGTCATTAAACATGAAACAAAAACAAAAATTAAGTCAGATTACAGGAGAAATGCTACGTTCACAAATATGAGAGAAATCATGTATAAGACTTTGATAGGGTAGAGGTTTTGCAATCCTACGAGAAAAAGGATTCATCATATGCAGCTTGATAACATAAGGGAAAAAATATAGCATAACCAATTCTCATCCAAATGTACATATAGGAAAATTTGAAAGCAACGAAAAGTACTCATTGAGGTTAAGTGCATTGTGGTTCACCGATTTTCATTCCAAGAGGAATCCACAATAAGACAAAACAGTATCACAACACCTATCAAAGTACGATTAAAAAAAACAGGGCTTAACAACATCCAATGTATATTATAAGATACGTAAAAGTGCCCTATGAAACATACTTAGTGAATTCTATTAGGATAAAATATCAATCTATGGCAGCAAATCCACACAAAAAAAATGAGGTCATCTTTGTCTTTAAAAATAATAGTAGCAAGAACCAGATAAAAATGTTGTTTGCTCCCACGTTAACAATCAGCAATCCACTCAATAAAACATAAAATAGATTCAAAAAAATAAAACAACAATACAAGCTTTTATCCCACTATGTGGGGTCAGCCATATGAATATTTTTTCTGTTATGTTTAAGAGGGATGCAACAAAAAAAAAATTGAAAGAGAATAATTTAATTGACAAGACAACACTGGTTCCTTCCGGCTTCAAATTTCACAAAGATCATAAACTTTGCATCCAGTAAGGGATGTTCATCCAACTAGATGTTTGAAAACATCTCGTGTTTAGGTCATTAAGCAACTTGTGTTTAGCTCATTCGTTAAATAACAACCCAAGTATAAGCATACTATTTAAGTTCAATTCCCTACTGAATCAACCACCCAAAAAAAACTTCATTTGTTTGTGCTCGGCTCATTATACATGAGCGGCTCGTATATATATCAAAAATTTACAAACACAAACAATGAAAAAATAATTAAATAAACTCAAATAGAGATTCATTGATAAATGAGCTACTCATTTACAACCCTACATCCAATAAGAGGAAAACTTTATTCATGAAAACTATGGCACCATAATTAATAATAATAAGAAGAAGAAGAATAATAATCATTTCTCATACATGATGCCAACACCAACAAGACAAATAGCCAAGTACACCTTAGACAAGAAATAACCCTACTTGAGCATGAAATTCAAAATTTAATCATGGCACACCATATCACAAAACACACTATACTTTCAACCACATACAAACTATATGATTGGGCAAACATACCCTACAATGGTTCTGATGTAGGACTACGATGTTTGCAAATGAATTTTATTAAGAACTTGCACAAATCCTTGATTAGAGAAATAACAAATAAACTTATTAGAAAATAAAACAATGAATCAAAACATAAGATGGGTCACTTCGGTTTAGACTAAGTTGCACATCCAAAAGATTTGAATTCTCAAAATAACGTAGAAAACAACAATTTAGTAATAGTTTCAACAAAATCCCTAGTCTAACAATAAGATAAGTAGACAATGAATGCACTCAAATTCCTATGTTTACTAAGCTTAGCAGAATCAGGCGAATGCGTCCTTCGTAACTACAATCAAATCACAAGAAAAATGTTAGACTTAAGAAATACAAGAAAAGGGAAAAGTAGAACCTCCGTCAAAGATCGGCGGCAATCCTCCACTCGATGATTTCAAATTGTTCTTCAATAGCTTCAACCAAGGTGTCCAAGATGCACTCTATGTATTCTTCCACCGTATGATCGATTCTCGGGTTGACGTCGAAGAAGGTTGAATGGAGAATGTCCACGAACCCGTGTTCATCGTAAGCAAGACCGTAATCTGTTTCTGGGTCAGCCATCCATGCGAGAAGTCGTTGTTTTGACTTTGGGAGGTGCTGGACGGCAAGGAGAGACTTCTCCAATGATGCTACAGTGAAAAGAATCCGGTGGAAACTGATGGACAACAAGCTGTCCCTTTAAGGCAGCAGTTTTGAAGCCTCTAGCTGATGAGAATCCAGGAATGGTTGGAGGAATTTTCTAGCAGCAGTCTTGGAGAGCAGGAAACCCAACGTGGGATGGGGTTTGGGGGGGATTTGTGGACGAAAAATAGCACAGAAGCCTTGGGGAGTTTTTGACCAGCAGGGGAGGAGAGATTGAGGCTTAATTCCAACTTAGAAGTAGTGGTTTTGGAAAGATTTAAGGAGGTGGGGAGCAAGGGGAATTTCGGCCAATAGAAAAAGAGGGGTTTTGAATTCTTTCCAAGAGAGCAACTTGAGTTTTGGAAAGAATTTCCAAGAGGGGCCGGCGGCACTAGGGATGAGGGAGAGGATTTGAGGAATTAAATTGGGTTTCTTATTTTAGATTTAGGAAATAAGAAAGATTTAATTATATCCTATTTAATTTGAAATTCAAATAGGAGTTAATTAAGAAGCTTTCCTAAAGATTTCGTAAATTAAGAAAGATTTTGGATTTCAAATCAATTGAAATTGAATTCAAAATTTGTCCAATTTTGATTCAATCTAAATTAGGAAAGGATGCATTGGGAGGGAAAAAGGAGAGAAGAAGGGGAGAGATGGGGCCGGCGGGTGGGATTTAACCGTGGGGATGGTGGAGGGTTTTATGGTGGTGGTGATGAAACCGGCGGGTGGATGGGGAAGGCTTGGTGGCCGGTGGCTGAAGGCTTGGGAGGAGTAGTAATGAGAAAACACAAAATAAGGAACCACGAACCCGACCGTCTCCAAGGTTGGTGGGTGATCCGATCTCCCTCTCCTAGAGATTTCTCTCTCAAATGCTCATACGATCTCACAAAGAAATCACAAGGGAAGAAAAATTATCATTCATTCATTAACCTCAAAAGAGAACAAGGGTTATATAAAGCCTCATATAAATGACTCAAAGACAAAAGACAACAATGCCCCTAGGGCTTACATACAACATCCCTTAATAAAAGGGTAAAACAAAAAACTAAATAAAGCAAATAAAATGCGACAACATAAATAAGAAAATATATATAATAAATCAAAAATATAATTACCTAATCATGGTCGTAGATCGGCGGCCACGCCTCTGATAAACCTTTCATGATCTGATGTCCCCATCATTCTCCCGGGGTGGGAGAAAACTCGACTCCGTCGAATAAGTGTCTCTGGTGCTCTCGTAGATCTCTAGTGCATATGGGTCAATCTGCTGCAACTCCTCGCGATCCAGCCAGGTATCCTCCGACTCGGGCTTTCCTTTCCACCTGATCAAGTATCTCTTTCGTCCACCTTCCCTTGTGGATATGATATCATCACTTAGGATCGCGGCCACCTTTTCTACTAAGGGTGATTTAGGAATATTTGGTAGTAGAGGTAGGTTTGGGATTTCACATGGTGAGGTCACACAAGGCTGTTATATGAGTGGATTTAGAGGGTTAAAATCAGGACATTCATATGCAACTAAATCTTCAATGTTAAAAGAGGGATTGATGTTAAAATTTGCAGTCAGATCTACTACGTAAGCATTATCGTTAATTTTCTTAAATATTTTGAATGATCCAACACTCTTGGCATGCAGCTTCTTAAATGTTCCTTGCGGGAACTATTCCGGACAAATCCGCACCATCATAGAGTCACCAACCTTAAAAGTTTTAAAACGCTGTTTCAAGTCTGCATATAGTTTGTATTCATTATTGCTCCTTTCAATTTGTTGTGCAATTTCTTTATGAAGTTCATGCAAATGGGATGCAAATGATAATGCAGACTCAGAAATCCTATACCTAAAACACATGGGTATCAGATCTAATGGCTGTCTACATTAGAACCTGTACACAATTTCAGAAGGACATAGGCCAGTGGTTTGGTTAATGGAATTATTATAAGCAAACTCAGCAACAAGCAAAATGGAATCCCAATCTCTAATGTGCTCGCCAACCAAATATCGCAACATATTACCTAAACTCCTATTAACTACCTCGGTCTGACCATCCGTCTGTGGGTGAAAGGCAGTGGAAAATTGCAATTTAGTGCCCATTTCATCCACAATGTTTTCCAAAAATAGCTAGTGGATTTCACATCCCGATCCGATACAATGGTTTTGGGTAAACCATATAAACGGACGACCTCGTTGAAGTATAACTTCGCAATGTGAGAGGCATCGGATGTTTTGGAGCAAGGAAGAAAATGAGCCATTTTGGAGAACTGATCAACTACAACACAAATGGCATCATTCTTATGAAGTGTCTTGGGCATGCCTAAGATAAAGTCCATATTAACATCCTGCCAATGACAACTAGGAATAGGAAGAGGAGTGTAAAGACCCGTGTTTTGCTTACTTTGCTTGGCCAGTTGGCAGGTGTGACACTGACTGACCATGCGACCGACATCTCTCTTCAAGCTGGGCCAAAAGAAGCGATACTCCACGGCTTCAATAGTTTTGTCCCGACCGAAGTGCCCAGCGAGGCCTCCGATGTGGAGTTCCAAGACAAGAAATTTCATAACGGAGGTGCTCGGGATACAAAGCCTCTGGGCTTTGAAGAGATAACCATCCTCCAATAGGAAATCGTCCACAAGGCGTGTGTTGCCAGTGGACAAAAGAGAGTGCAGATCTCCTTGAAGTCGGGGCATTCCAAATAGTCCCTCTTTATTTGGTCAAATCCCACGACTTCTGCTCACATCTCTGTAGTAGTCATTATACGACGACTGAGAGCATCGGCAGCTTTATTTACAACTCCCGCCTTATGTCTGAAGGTATATATGTACTCTTGAAGGAACTCGACCCATCGACCATGGCGTGCATTTAATTTCTTTTGGGAGTTGATATAACGCAGAGCTTCGTGATCCAAGAAAATGACGAACTCTTGCGGGAGCAAGTAGTGTCACCAATAGCGAAGAGATTGGATCACAGCGTAAAACTTTTTTTCATACGTGGAATAACGCTGCCGAATGTTATTAAGCTTTTCACTGAAGTAAGCTACTGGGTGACCTTCCTGGGAGA